GCTCTAAATCAAAGTGGCGTCGTTTTGACAAATCGACATCACCTTGTTTTCCAAAAATTTATTTCCTTATAAAAATATGCTATATCTCCTTTGCTCGTCCGTACAAATTGGATTTGGCTCTTTTTTCATCCAACTTTCACTCATCACAACAATTTTGGTTTCTTTTGCTTGTAAAGAAAAATAGGGAAGAGGCAGTTTATTCAGTGATATGACGGATTCCTGGACTGGCTTATTTGTAGATCACGGATAATAAGTTGCTGGTGCATTGTCACGCCGGAATTGGCCGCACCGGTGTTCTCATTGCGTTAGACTGCGCCATTTATGAGCTCAAAAATGCTGGAACTGTCAATATCAAGGTAAATTTCCGCAGAATTCATTTAGCAGTATCCATTTTTGAATAGAGAAAGCTTTTCAATTGTTCAACTTAACAATTTTCTGAATTTCTGTGTTAAGCATTCGTTGTGATAAAGTTATGGACGTAAAAAATTCAGAATCTCATCGAAACAATCCGGAAACAGAGACCACGAGCAGTGATGAATCGATGGCAATATGCTTACATAAATGTTGTTGTGGCTGAACAGGTGTTTCCATTTTCTCATTTTTTTTTTGGTTCACTGGCCTTCAAAAGCGACGTACTTACACCTGAAGATGCATCTTTTTATATTTCATGCTCTTCAGATTTAAAGAATTTGATGTTAATGCGATTACTGCCAGGAGTCCTCTAACATTTCATTGAGAGGACTGTGTGGCTTACTTCGTTGATAAGTATAAGAAAGAATTGTTGCCTGTTAGTGCGAATTACAAACACTAGCATGTGGATAATAAGTGTTGTGAAGAAATTCATGTAGAATTTTCAACATGTGACCTCCACTGTACAACAGCATTATAATTAATCAAAAAATGAATCGTTGAGGAAACAGCTGGTTTGTGTTTCACAAACCAAATACCAAGTAGCATTATTAAAATTAATTACTTTCACTTGTTATTTCACAGACAAAGTGTTTCCTCAATGATTTGCCATTTCCTGTTACATTATAATTATAACCATTGGCAACGCGCACTTTGCGGGCCCGTGCGATCATGCGTTTTTGCAGTGTTTCGTATTGTAATAAGATCACTCGTAATTTCGCTAGCTAGAAACCTCTTGTACATACTGGTCCTCGAATTTCGGGAAGTTAGTTATCCACGCTATGCTTAGACAGGGGACATTCCCTTGAAATCCCAGGTTCGCAGCTTTC